TCAAACAAATTAAATGACATCTCGTCTCTACTTCTGGTTATATACTCGATGATATGCGTTTAAAAACAAGAAAGCAACTTCTAAAGACGTCCTTCCCTTAACATAATCGCGCGTCATCGTGCTTTTGCCGATTGATGCGCTGAGGCAAATTTAGACCGCCCGCCAACCTTGCGCGTGTATGCCAGCGATCATTGTATGTGTGAGTAGTGCTTACTTATCCTGTGTAATTTCGGTACTGTGCGTGGCTAGAGATTCAAGATTTTGATTTGCAGAGCAACGACCTCACTATTGAGATATTGTAGGACCAAATGACGTTCTTCGATGAAATAAAAGAAATTAAATGACGTAATAGTACATTGTCACTTACAAATGTTTTGGGCGGCATAATATGTATCTAGCCCGAATGTATTAAAATATCGATCATTGGTACGATCACTCTTGCAGACTAATTTTGCAAAAAAAAGAATATCACGATAATCAATAAAATCTAAGACAAGATTAATTGTTGTAATTTATTACTCATTTAATATTTAACTAAAAACCTGTAACCTTATTATTTAAGGATGAAAATGAATAAAGTTTTTGTCATTATTTTTTATCTAAACTGGTTAACTATAACTATAAAACACTCACTGGTAGAATATTTTTTTTTCTGTAATGCAAAGATCTCGTTCGCAAAGGCTATTTATACGAGCTGAGTTAAAAATAACGCACCAATGCTAAGCAGTAGCAGTAGACCTCCTTTGGCATGAGTTCGCCCAGGGTAGTACTACCACCTGACTTATTTCTGCCGCCAAACAGTAATGTGAGCATTACTGTGTTCCTGTTGTGAAGGGTAAGAGTGCTGGCAAAATTACAGTCACATGGGACTTGTCAACTTATGTCTCCGGGTAACGAGTTGCGATTTAAAGCTCTGAGGGGCGCTGCAACTATTATGGACAGGCGACACGCCTGTTTACCACCAGGTCCACGATTTGTTCATTCCATCACTTAGTATTATAAAAATAGCAGGGAGACTATAACTATTTATAACTATTTTAATTAAATTTATTTAAATTATATATATATATATTATATAGATTTTTATTTTAAGATTGAAATCGGTCTTTACTTTCGATTTAGTACCTAGGTATATACACTACATAATATATACAACTTAATAAATAATAATTTATTTATTTATTTCAGACAGTACAGTCACGTGTCCATATGTGTTAGTAGGTGCTTTCAGCTATGTTAGTAGAATGCATAATATTCACTTTCTTGACTTGAGGGAGAGCGACATAAGACAGCTGTTCTCGCATAGAGATCTCGCGCTTTATGACGCCCTCGTGTACCCTTGAAGACGTTATTGAATTGGACAGGCAAGGCACTGAAGGTTTTTTAGTGTAATTGTTTCATAGGTTTGACGTGTGAGGTCTGGCAATATCTGATCTTTTTCATACAAAAAAGTGCGCTTTTAACCTCTATCCGTCCTGGTGGAAAGTCTCGTCGTCACTTTCTGTCATTTCGTCGAAGATGTAGCATGCATACCTAAATAATGCATATTCACTCTCGACTTGAAAAGATCCCAGTTACAAAGTCCGCAGGCAGGGAATTCCACTCCCTAGCCGCTCGCCATATAAATGTAGATTCCTGGGAATGTCCACAACGGAAGGGTGGAACGGTCTAGTAATAATAACGGTCTGTCTGTGCAAATTACAGTCAGAAGGAGTCGCCTGCATGTGACAGAGGTTTAATCAGTGCCCTCGTCGTTTATTGTCCAAAAGAAAGACGGTCTAATTTATAATTCCTGTCAGTCTAGTGAGTCTGTCCCTGTTAGAGAGAGTATCCATGGAGACTGGACGTGACAAATAATAATAAAAATAATAATACTGTGCTAGGCAACCACATAAATTACCTGGTCTCAAACTAGGTAATTTCCTGTACTGGACGTTACCCAGAGCACCCAGAGCATATCAATTGAGAAAACTTCGTTTTCTAACCGGGCCTCATCACAGTGTGAACCATTGAGTAACTGAGGTCATCAAAATTAGAAAGCTCTTATATTTTTCTTTGAGCACTTCACCAAACCAGCTTCGAATAGTCGACTATTAGACACACGCCCCTTTAAAAAAACAACTTTATTTAAATCTAATGCACCTATTAAATTGGAAAAAGTTACTACTGCTCTTAACCTAACTCAAACAAATAATATACACTGATTTTCCGGTTGACGTAGCGAAGCAATGTAGGTAATCCAACCGAGCAATCATCGATCGTGTAGAACGCAGAAAATGACCGGTGCGCCTACGCCGCCTATGCGACAACGTACACGCACACTGATCTACATGTCGCTCTCGAATGTCCCACTGACTGATTTAACAAAGTTTTCTTTCTACAAGTACAACTAATATCTCCTTAACCCACATTTTACTTTATCAAAGATTTAATAGTAACGCTATAAAGTCTTTCATAAATTAATAATTCTATTATATGATATATTAATAACACTGTTATTTACGACGTTTTATGAGCTGCACAAATAGTTTGATATACTTTATGCGTACATTTATTTCATATTCTATACATAGTTAAAATAAATAAGAAAACGCTTGTGAAAGGTTTCTGTTCTACAAATCCTTGACAAGTTGACAAATTAACCCCTGGCTGTAAAAAAAGGCACATCTACAAAATGACAGATTTTCAGGAGAGAGGTTCAAGCATTCCACAACCAAAATTAATCCATAACTTTTTTATGCTTAAATATATTTTGCCAATCTTTTTATACGTGCAGCTTGTGTGTCAAGTGTACACAGAAAGCGTTCTCGTCCTGTGTATACTTGTATACGATGCTCTCAGAATGCTGTGGTGTTACCGCACTACTGTAGCGCTTCGGGAATGTTTACTTAGGCGCAAGTTTAGTGCCATTTTGCGGAAGCGGGTCACATCCCTTATAGGCAGAGAGTGGGGCAGCGCCAATAGTCTTCTTCGTACAGTGGCCGATAGGAACGATGGGCCCATATTATATCAATGGGTACGGGTAGACTTCATTGTTTAGATGATTTTAACATACTTTGTAAGTATTTTTTAGTAACACTATATGGATATTTTATCCGAAATAAAGATTTGAATTTAAATAGAAGTGTTAAAAAAAATCACGTACATGCGCATAATTTGTTTCATAGTTATTTTTTTCATCGAACTATTGTGTCCCACTGCTGGCCAAAGGTCGCCCCCAAATTTCTCCATCGCTCTCCGTCTTTAATGATTTCCTACCACTCCTTCTCGTACGTTAGAACGTTGATAACATAAGAGTCCTTTATATTACTAGCCAAGGCCGTTTGACGGTAGGATATCACCCGGAGTTTCTTCACACCCTGATCTCGGGACTGTCATTACGCCAGTCAACGTTTTTTATGATACCAAGTGATGGGAAAAACGAGTCGTACGCCTGGTGATAAGCGACACGTTTGACCATAGCAGTCACAGTGCCTGACAGAGATCTGAGAGGCACTGCCATCGCGTCCGTCACACTGAGACGTTGACAAGTCTCATTTGCCTGTAATTTCCCCAGCACTCTTAGAGTAATGGTCACATTACTGCCTGGCGGCAGAAATATATAAAGTGGCAGTATTTCGGTGGACGAACTCTTTCACATAAAGCTGCTACCAAAAGACATCAACGCAGCCACTACGTTCTTTGAGCAAGCGCATCTCAGTTAATGGTATACATATATATGAATAAGCATAATTGCTTGACGAGTTGGTAAGATAAAAGATATTGTACAAATTAATGATTTTATTACGAATTTAAATATTATTATACATTACCAACTACTAATAACTGCCGACTTCAGTTGACACCCTCTTCTGAATGAGTGATGTTAACTGATTGATAGTTCCAAGTCATTTGCATTAAATTCTAAATGACCATCACCGGTCCGCCATGAAGTTTCTCATTACCATCACTGCTTGCATTAAACTGCCTCCGTGGCCGAATGTTAATCTGCCACGCAGAGGTCCCGGGTTGATTCTCGGGCCGGGAGAAATATTTGTATGCCCTACATTTACATCTCTGGTGAGTTTGGGTGTAATTTGTGGTGTTCTATGTGTATGTCCATGGCACCTGCGACACAGGGTTTCCCTAGTGCTGTGAGTGTGTACGTTATTTTATTTACGTTATTTATTTACCGTCATCATCAAATCGTTGACGACCCGTCCGAGCATGTGTCTTCTAACGGCTCAACTTCAACGGCAACTTCAAACGGCTCCGTTCGTGGCAGTGCGTCCACTGTATCCGCAGCAATCGTATTGCCGATGCCACTTTTCTCCATGATCAGCAACAACGCAGGCACCGAACGCAAAATAGCAAATGACGACGGCGCGGCGCGTCGGCAGGCGCGCGGGGTTTGTCCACTAATATGCAATCCGTATGACGTCGTCGGCACGCATCGAAAAAGTTATCTTCTTAGCAACTGCGTCGGCATTACCGACAGGCCGGTGCGTGCGGTCCGTGCGATGCGGATCAGTGGACGCAGTTGTATGAACTTCTATACAAAGAATACTAAAATCCGTATAATGCTATCCGTCCGATGCGTGTGCTGCGGATCTGTGGACGCCTACCTTTAGGGGACAACCAGACACGCTCCGCCAATGCGGTTGAGCGAATTTTCACCGATGTGCAGGTTTTACGATGTACTCATTCAGTGTTAAAATAAAGGATCCAGGGAAGGGATGGATCTAGTTGCAGTTCCCACTCAGAGCTTCAATCACAAAGACCTGAGCGGCACTGCCAAGTAAATTTGACAAGTCCCATGTACCTATAGTTTCACCAGCACTTTCACCCTTCAAAACAGGATCACGGTAAAGCTCATATTACTGTTTAGCGACAGAAATTGGTATGCGATAGTTCTCCCTGAACGAACTCTTTCGCAAGGGGTGCTACTGCCACAAAACATACACTACTATACAAATATAAATACCTTACTATACAAATTCTAATAAAGTTTTATATTCCAGGCTTAGTATCGAGAGTGTATAATTGGATATCGAAATCTACATGGTTCGGAGGGAGCTGGTTCAGAGAGACCATACCAAAACCAGTGAAAACCACGACCACTGAAGCTCCGGAGCCAGTCACAGTGACTACGAGCTGGTTTCAGTCATTGTTAGAGTCGGAAGAAAATGATGATGGTGCCTACATGGTCGATGATGCCAGTAAGTATGCCATTCATGTACAGCGTGTTGAGAATTCTGCAGACTACCAATTGGGTAACTTTCAGGTTAGTTTTTTCTACCTAATTTCGGTGCCAATTTTTATTATTTAAGTGTTCGAGTTTTATGAAATATTAAATAACATTTCATGACACTACACTCGAATATTAAATAATATTACAAAAACTATAGATAACTGACCTGCTAATTACCTAATTAATTCTAGATCTAGAATTTTTTGTATCTTTGTGTAAAATTTTGCCATTGCGTACTTATTATTTAGTATGAAGACAATGTCAAGTGTTAGGGCAATACCGTATATTTTTATACCGATTTCGGATCCCAATGTATCTATTGCACAACAACAAGTTACAATGCATTACGGCTAATAATGGAAAATTTAACAGGTTTAAGCGGCTTGAACTAGGCGCAAGTGTCAATGTGTAAAGAATGAAAGTGTGTAAATGTAGTGATTTTACACATTTGTCCAAATTGCAGTTTAGTGGAGTAATGTGCGTTCACTCATACACTCTAAGAGCTCCATTATCCATAACGAAAACGGCCTCACGACATCAATTGCTTATTTATTATACTGAAAAAAAAAGAATCCGATATCTTAACTTTCATACAGGTGAGTAATGATCTGCACATAACGATTATCTGATGATAGATAATCTATCATTAGATAATCGTAATATTCTATCGTCAGATAATCATTAAAAGCAGAGCATTAATCCTCTGTATAGACATGAAGGTCACACTTTCATTTTCACGTTCTTGTGGATCTTAATTGATTATTTCTGTTTGAGCTGTTAATGAGACGGGTAATATATTTTTATACTTTCTAATATCTGGAGAGAAAATTTTGATAAATTTTTCGATTCATTAACATTCGATATGATTAATGTTTGAAGGAAGAAACCAGTGAACTAACTTTCTTGCAATTTAAAAAGGTATTTGCACACCCTTTAAAAATGTACAACAAAAATCATTCTAAAATTTACTTTTTATGTACATACTTTGCAATTTGCATGGACATTAACAAGATTTATTTTATCTCAGCACTCTAAGGAAATTTATGTTTTACAAACGCCATCTTTCATCTGTTACTAACATTTAATTACGAAATCTTAGCCTTGGTATAAATAAAGCCATATGTGATCATCACAAGTTCTTTTAATACTTGAAAGTCATAAAAATAATACGAATTATATGAAACAAATTATGTATATCGTCGTTGTACTGCGAAAACCAATTATCTGGAATTTTCACAGAAAATGACTTAATATTGGATAACGCGATAAAATTGCTTATATTAAATGCAAACATTTTCAAATTTAGGTAAAACATGAAATGTGGAGAGTTATCTGTTAAAAATTAACATGGGGTGATGATGATAATGATGATGCATGAGAAATAGTCGTCGTTGAAATTTCAATTGCATTTATTACAAAGTCGATATTTTGTGAAATAATTGTTTTTTCCAGTATAACGGCGATATGTGAAATTTTATAACTCTTCGAGCTGTTACACACGGAGACTTTTAGCAGCACTCTTTAAATAAAAAGATTATCGACTAATTTCGTTCGTAAAATCTTTCTCTTTTCAAAAATTTTCACTTTGAAGATGTGGCAGTATTACACCATGATCACACCAATGGCGCGAAATATTTATTGGACATAGTAAAAAAATATTATTCTCTAGGTTTTCCACGTAACTACACACAACAACACACAATCGCTTAACACACACAATCACTTGCGTACTCATACACAGACCTTCACAGATAACTACCTACACATATGCTTAGAAATCAAGTTGTTTTCCATTTTTGGATCCCGCGATACAAGCCTAGAGATCAGTGCCAGGTCCGCTGGTAATTGTGAGTCATAACACTTTTTATTATGAAGGAATAAATTTAAGCCACCTGTCATACATTGGGCAGATTTAAATTAAAATCTGAACTGTCTTAACGTAATCAGTATTTCGATTTCGACAATGTGTAACCTAATTTATGATTTTACTATAATATAATATCTTCTTTTTGAAAAAAATGTTCTTTACTGTTTAATTTCATGAATGATTCAAAAGGCGTTTTGGAGCTGTGAATATCATTGTTAATAAATATTTAATTTCAACTACGTATGCTACTTACTACGCAGGGTGCTTTTCGAAATTGCTGTCATTGAATTAGTCGTTACAACGCAAAACTGATTCTAAAAAATCACATTTTGATTTGTCTAATTGATTTGTGTCACCTACTTAAAATTACAATACAAATTTATTTCTAGAAAGTATTGGGTAATATACAGTTTTCTACAAAACCATCCCTTATAACAGACACTTCATGTTTCGTCACATTTTATTCTTGTATATGTGTTTAATTAAAGTTTCCTGTACTAATTTTTAATCTGATTTAAATTTAAGAAAAAAAAACTACAAAGAAGCCATTGAAAAAGAACTACAATGGTTATCAGTTGCTGAGAGCATACCCAGATGTACAATGGAAAGTTCATGAGATGCTGGACCTCCAGGAAGAAGGTCAAGGTTCGGGGTTGATGTGGTGGACACCACCTTCACTCAATAGTTCGACTGATATTCTTGTACCTCCCGACCTTTTGGCTGACGTTAAGGACTTTTTAAAGTCCTCCAAGATAGATTTTGATGTTGTTATATGGGATTTACAGGTAAGTGAAATTTCAATGTAGAAATTTGTTTTGAATTTCATTAAAGAAAGCACAAAGTTTTATGCCAAAGGTCAGACAATCATATTCATCTATTTTTTGTGAAAATACTCCACTAGTTTGTTATTATTATTGATACAAAGATGGAAAAAACACAAAGAAAAAATCATTGATCCGATTTCTTCTTTAATATTCAAAATTCTGTCCCACTATTCCTTTTCGAAGCGAAATCCTCTAAGCGCTTGTTTCTACCTTTGTATTAGGTTTAAACCAAAGTCAAAGTCATAGTGAAAGTAATCTTTGTTTTATACGTCAGCAAATTACAGTTGAAATCATCATACTCTAAGATCATACTATGTAAACTGTTCTGCTCATTCGTAAGGCAGATTCCCCTGAGAAGAATGAGGAAGAAACTGTAGGGGTTGCTCTTTGTAAATTAAATATACATTTAAATTCATTTATCATTACAATATTTAATATCACACCAACCGTACCAGTAAATCAAACTTTTGAAAATACAAGTGTCTCAATTATTTAATTCTTAATGATTTGAATATTCTTGTCATATTTGCGAAAGCAAAAATTTTTTTTCAACTGGAATTATTTTGCAAATTTTAAATAACATATCAAAATTATCCGTTCCTTGTAATTTTTAGGGTTATTTTCGATACGATCATAGTATTTATTTTTTGTCATATTTTGTTAATTTTGTAAACAGCCATATTTATTTACTAATATTATGCTCCTCAAATTATCTAAAAAAAATAAAGAAACCAAAAACAAAATTCGAATAAAAACATAAATACGAATTTCGTGAAAAAAAAAGAAACACAAAACAAAAAATAGAACAGGGGCCTTACCATGAACTCTTATTACAGTTCAGTATAGGTTCGTAATGACAAAAAAGCGGGATGGTGATATACACTACATGTAGCGCTGTCTCACAACGTTCATTTTAGGTCCCAAACCGAATCGTAATAAGAGTTCATGATCAAAAAATTAAGTTTTATTAAGCGTAGCGTTCATTGGAGGTATCGTTTTGTCGTATTTCAATTTTGTCATTTTCCAACAGAAAGCAATAACGTATGAAAATCCAAGACTATCAAAGAAGCAGCGACTCGAATTAGAGCAAATTCGCGGTCATCCACTGACGTGGCGACGGTATCACCGGTACGCGGATATCCTTCGCTATCTGGAATACTTGCAGCATTCTCATGCTGATATTGTAGAGCTTATACCGTTGGGACGATCGTCTGAGGGCCTGCCCTTGGTTGCTGTTAAGGTATTAATCTTATTTTGTTTACAGCTTATTATAGTTCATAATAGCCTTTCGAAAAAAAGAAGGAACTAAGTAATTACCAATTGGTAGTACGCTGGCAAAGAAGCATTCAAACTATTTTTAAGTATTTTTGGTCAAATCGTCAATAGCTTAAAGACATTCCCCAATGTAAATGTGCAAAAGGTTTTACACATGTTTTTAACAAGCCATAATGTTCTATTACGCAGAAATAAAATAATACACCTCTGTTATCTTCAATATCCATAATATCATAATAATCAGTAAAATAAAGCTTCTAAACCAAGAATGAGAAACCAATGTACACTCAACAGCACGTCAAGCTACACATTGACGTATCTTGTTCCGTTGCACTGGAGGCGATTTTCGAACAAAAATGTGTAGTCTGATGTGCTGTTGTCCGTACATAAACAAGTAGGTATGGCCTCAGTTTTGCATGAAAAACTTACTTTTCATCACATTTGCTCGTATATAGTGTTATGACATGCAGGCAAAGTCTAAATTATGCCCACGGGCTTTTTCATTACATTATCGCCCTACGGATTTTTTACGTTAAGGTTAAGCAAAAAGTTTTATGCTCGATAAATCTGAACATGTATTTCGCATAAATTTAAAGTTTAAAAAACGGAACATTTGCTATTTAAGTAACTACATTTGAATAAATTTATTTTTATGAATTCAAATCCTGCAATATTTTTAATATTTGGAAACTATTTTTTTTTATATCTAATACATTGTGGTTTCTTGCGTCTGTGCCTTTTATTACATTTTAGTTCGAATTGTACTCGTAATGGCAATCTGTTTAAAAAAAACAAAAGCCCGCCATTTGAAAATGTGTAAATGTTGTGTCGTGAAGCGATATTTATGCGTAAAAAAAATAAATTATCGTTGTATCTATTTCCTCACAAATGTCATAAAAAACATTGTATGTAGCACGGGCGGTAAAAATTACAAACCTCCAGTCATTAAAGCCCTCAGCCCTCGACTTCAGGCTTCTAATAAACTCATTCATGATTTTTTTATTTACCGCCAACACAATGTACTATTTCTAAATACCCTAATAATAGAACATATAGCGCTGAATTTGGATGCGGAATTTTCATTATAATGTTAGTATACTGGGCATTTACGTGATCATGAATCATAGAAATACTATTCTCTGGGTCTGAATCACTACATAATATATACGTTTTGTACACGGGACCTAAAGATGGTGTGTTTACATACACGTTTATTTGGTGGGGTCGTCGATATAGGAAATTCCAGTTGTATAATGTAAATATATTAAGACAACACCACATTTCTGTTGCACTGATTCCAAAGTAAGTAAATAAGGCACTTGTGTTATGGAAATCGGAAATAAACACTCAGACCCGAAACAATATATAAAAGTTAGTTTCTGCATAGACCCGGTCGGGAATCGAACCCGGGACTCTGAGATGAAGACGACACCATGAAAACCGTTGTGCAAGTCACGGACCAAGCAAGCTTTTGACCATGGAGGTCGTTAGTAACTACAACCATAACGGATTGGTAGTTGTTAGTGTGTATTTCAGTCCTTTGGAGTCGAAACTCTTGGCTGTGGGGTCCCGTTGCTCTTCATCTGTACAAAATTTTATTCAAAAAATTAATAGACGTCTAGGAAACCTAAGGGCCGGTAGCTACCTCGCCCAACGTATTAGCATAGCAATACAAAGGGAAAACGCTGTCAGCATTTTGGGCACCATGGCGCGTGGACCCAATTTATTGATATTATTTAATTCTAAGTTTTAGTTTCTAGTATTTAAGCTTTCATTGTACCAATGTATTTTAACTTATCGTCTAATTAAAAGTTCCACCTCGTTGTTAGTAGGAAATTGATATTATCTATTTAACTTCTAGATATCATTACCCATAAACGAAACGCAGGCAAAGGAGAATGAAAAAGATAATAAGAAGAAGTGGAAGTTGCGCTCGCATATGAAACCCGCGGTTTGGCTGGATGGTGGAGTACATGCACGGGAATGGATCGCGCCGGCCGTGGCCACCTGGATGATACACGCACTCGTTGAAGGCGAAAAGGGATTAGGTATGTTTTTTATGATACCAAGTCACAGATTACTTAATAGTTACTACGTAACAAATACATTACTCTCACGCAAAATCGAAAATACCTACGCTATAATAGCCTACTAAATCTGACTAGTGACACTAGGCACTTACTACGAGGAAAAGGGAACCTAAGTACCCGCTCAGAGAGGTGAAAATAACGTTACACGCCGTGTGCAGTCATGCGAAACCGAATGCTCATAAATTAAAGACTTGTAGGAGCGCTTGTGCCGACGTCGGTACACTCAGCAGTAGGCACTGATCGGTTAACCTTAAGCAAGTGACGAAGCCCTAATTGAGGTGAAGAACAAGTCGTGCGCCTTGTGGTAAGCGACACGCCTGTCCATAGCAGTTGCAGAGTTTTAAATCGCAAAGATCTGCCACCAAACAGTAATATGAGTATTACTGCAATCCGGTTTTGAAGGGTAAGGGTATTGGTGAAATTACACGCTCATTAGACTTGTCTCAGACTTTGTGTCAGAGTGACTTGAGTTATGGACAGGCGGGTAGCTTACCATAATTTGTTCGTCTCGTAACTTGATATTATAAAAAATAATCTTAGTACAAAGTACTAAAAAAACCGACCTCAAAAGTCCTTCATCGCCTAGTTTGCCACCTTTAGCGGTGGAATGTTTTCCTCAATTTTAATGGGACCATTTCTAAGGTACCCATTTTCCAATCTGATTGAGAACCTCCTCCTTTCTTTGAAGTCATTAAAAAATAAAAAGGTCAACCACATCTACGTAGTAAGTAAAATAGCTATCACTTTCTTATAACTAGGTTCGGAGTACGAGGTGCTCAAGCAGGCTGACTTCTACATCCTGCCTGTACTCAATCCGGACGGGTACGAGCACTCGCACACGCACGACCGCCTCTGGATGAAAACCCGATCGAGACTCAGCGATCGCGCCGATGATTATTATGTTGGATGGTGAGTCTTTTAAATTATACAAATACACTGTATTACCCATGTTGTTGACCGCGGAATCGAAGCGAAACGTAATTGAACATAGCATAATAAACTTTAACTAGATAGGATATGGTATCTACGAGAATTCCCGAAATTGAGGCACGAAGACGCGCGACACATTTTTTGGCTAGTGTTTTTTTTGGAACTAGAAAACCTGTTAATAAAGAAACAGTAATCGCAAACCTTTTTCTTCAGACAAGAAATTGCGGTAAAGGAAAAAAACATCGTGATAATTGATGGCAAATGACACCTATTTATAAACAACACATCGACTGTGAACTGGCAACCGGTACTATCATAATTTTGACAACTTTACAGGTAAAGAAATAATCACCTATATAGCATCTGGTTTATTAAATAAAAATATGTAGTGTACATACATGTATAATAAAAGTATTTAAAAGCTACGTATTTTTATTTAATAAATCAGATTTTGCTCTTCATTCTGTACAGTTGTTAAAATTGAGATAGTACCGATTGCCGGTTCACAGGCGATATTAAGTTATTATTTTATAAATACTTTCCATTTAACATTTAGAGCTTATGTTTCTCTAAGTTTTTTATATTGCAAGTCTTTGAAATAGATTAAGTATGTAAAGATAAAAAATGGTGCTTGATAAAAGACCCAACATATTTAGTTCCGTCTAATGCCAAAACAACGAAGTATAGGTACTTTGTACGTTACACAATTGAAATAAAGTTAATTGCGTTTCGTGTATAAGTGCATCATCAAATCCATCTGAACTTATGGAATAGAGCTCTCGGGATCAGCTACCAACTGAAATCTCGAGATAATGCAGAGATTTTAGAACATAATACTGAGAACTATTTCTTGTGCACCATGTTTTTTTATAAGGAGTACTGAGATACATGAATATTTGAATATACAAACTATCAAAGAAGAAATAAAGAACTATAGTAAAAATTATGAAGCCCGCCTCCTTATCCATAAGAACGAATTGGTAAGAAACTTGTTGCATTCACAAAACCCAACGCGGTTGAAACGACGGCTCACCTTGAACCGGGGCAACTAATGTGAACACCACTACAAACTATCACAGGGCATGATGTTCTCCCTCCATCGCCGACGCAGAAGCCGACGGCAGATTGAAAAGGGACGAAAACTTCCCCGGCAATGTAAATTTAACTTTGGAAGCACAATTGGTTGACGTGTTGTATCATGAGAACTTTTGGTCTTCTATAGCTCATAAATTTAAATTATATTTTAAATTATATTGTACGACGACCTCCGTGGTAGAGTGGCTCGCATACCAGTTTTATGGTCGCAATCTCTGAGGTCCCGAGTTTGATCCCCAGCCTAATTTGTCTTTATTGTCTCCGGAGTGTTTGAGATACCGTCGTTGTTTCCGATTTCTATAAAACAAGTGCTTTGGTTACTTATTTTGACATCCGAGCTATGTATGTGATGTTGTCTAATATTTATTTAATATATTTATATGTTGTTATTGATATGATGTATCGTGATGGAACGAACGCGCCTGATGGTTAGCGCACATCATTCACAAACATTTATGGGGTACTGCCACTGTCTGCCACAGTACCCATGAGACATAAAGTTGACAAATCCCACGAGCCTATAATTTCACCAGCACTTCCTACAAAACCGGAACGCAGTAATTGCTCAATTGTTTGGCGATGGAAATAGATAAGGCGGTACTAGTTCCCTAGACGAAGTTTTTTTAGTTAAATGTACCATATAAAATATATGTTGCATTGTGGGGTTGGAGCTAAAGAGAGCGAGTAAACTTTATAATAAATCATTCTCTTGGCAATTTCCATATCCTTCTCAACTTTATAACCAATGTTAAAACAACGACAAAATTTTACGAAAAAATTTTACGGGCACACAAAACATTTCATGCTTCACTAAAGAAAATTTACAAATGTCCATTGACCTCCTTAGAAGTAGGTACCTGTCATACCTTACGGAATTCAAAGAAAGTATGTCTTTACCAGATTCTTATCTCACTCGGTAAATGTTCAAATAGCGTCTGGTTTCCTGTGAAAGCGACATCTCTAAATTATATATTACAAAAGTTTTTCCCCAAAAAGATAATTAGAAAACGAGACCGTACTGTTTTTCTTCGTTTTTACGGTTGGCGACAATAACTATCAAGATACTTAAGAATCTTAAACATCTACAATGAGGTTGTAAAATCATTTGCAACAATAAAATTTCTCATACAAAGACATTAGTATCATTAGAATTCAAATGGTAATTTTTTTATTTATTTCATTAGGTTCATAATCAATTTTAGAAGATTTCTCATGAGAAAATAGACAAGTACTGACAAAGTGTGAGGTAAAAGCTGAAGTTAGAAAGTTGAAATAATCACATTTACGCAATAATAATTGTTTCTTCGTGATAAGTCATAAATATTACATACATTTTAAACAGCTAGACAGTGAAAATATGAGTTAATTAGCGAGTAACTAAGTTCACAATTTACTGAATCTGTAGAATTTTACTCTGGCGTTGAAACTTGTTTTATTTTATTTGAATATAATAAACTTTACTTCACAGCGTTGCCTTTTTTCTCGTAAATTAGAGGTAAAAAATTTACTTAAAAAGCACGGATGTAGTAGTAGCAATGACACGAATATTAATTTTGTTCCGTCTGTTAAAGTCATTTATTTATGATTATAATGTCTTAAAATTAATGTTATAAGCATTGACTTACAAATAAATGGACGACGGGTCTAATACAAAAACCACGAAAAAAATGTCCCAAGTCAACCTATGTAAACGTAGTGACATGTAAAGGAATATGAAAAAGCTAAAACGTTGAATTTAAATTGTAATGTCATCGCAGTACTGTCTAATTTTGCTTGCTTCGCTGTCAGTCGAACAAACGAAGACTAAAGCGTGAATGACGCTCTGTATACGATTTTAACGCCTATAAGTTCGGACACTTTTTAGCACGGACCCGACGTCCATATAATTGTAAGTCAATGGTTATAAGAGATATATAACTTGGTCATATACTTTTTTGCAATAATAGAATCCCACTACCTTAAATAGCTTTGCTTAATTCCGCATAACAGTGAAAGTGTTCTATCAATCACTCTGGAAAAAATATATAGTAAAGAAAAGAAAAAAAAAACACAAACTTACCTTGAAATTTTACAAGAAAACCATTGTTTTCAATAGGTACTTTACATATACCAATGATTTCTTTTTATGTCAACTGAACTAATTAGAACACTTACTCGTATATATATATATATATATACCATATATATTTTTCAAATGGCTTTAATTTCGTTTGTAAAAAGATAAATTTTGAAATAAAACCAGTGTCCCTAACCGGACTATTCCAGTGACCCAAGCAAAATGAACCATATTAGTACGGGAAAAAGTTGAAATCGAACTGAGTTAATATTGAGTCTAATAATATTGTAAATCCGGAAAAATAGTTTCATTTCCTATGTGTAACAATCGCGAAAACCTAAGAACTCGAAATATTATAGTTAATGTTATAAGATGATGATAGAAGAGTCTGAAACATATAGTAATAATAATAACTCTTTTATGTCGAACCACTTCGTATGCTATGTTATGAAAAACTTGTTAGTATAGTAAAATTAAGCAAAAGAAAACAATATTGATTTTATTTAATACCTTGGTGTTTTACTAACAAGATTTTTTTGTGAAATAACTCCACTAATTTGTTATAATTATTAATACAAAAATCGAAGTACATTATTTCGTTTTGTCGAACTCAAAGAAAAATTCCTTCTATCTGACAGTGTGTGTTCTTCTACGTTTGCTGATATATGATAATTGATAAGAATGATGGTAGTCTATGATATTTGATCGTGTTAGTAATAATATCACATGGTGATGGAAGGAGGTAATTGTAACACGTAACGTGTACGTAATGAAAATTACTTAAATTTATTGTAAAAGAATGTTTACGACCTAAATTAATAACAGACACATACAATTTACTCGTTCAGACATAATCCTGTCAGTGAATCCTGTCAGATAGAAGGAATTTTTCTGTGTTATATCAAAAGAAAACAAAATATCTTACAACTTGCGCTAGTTGATTTCCTCTATAAAAATAATGTAAAAAAAGGACAATCAAATCTGTCTACAATAACATTCAGAATACCAGTGGTTTAAATTTAAATTGAAAGCTACATATATTTAAATAAGATTACATTTAAGTATGTGCATATTTCACTTCATAATACTTTGTACAATTATATACACACAGACAAATTATCTTTCTCTCTCTCTCACGCACACACACACACAAGCAAATACGCACGGACGCTCGCACACCCGCGCACATGCACGCACGAACGCACGTACACACACCGACCATGTTTTTGGGGAAGATCAGAAGCATTAATACTGCCAGCATCTTGAGCACCTTGCCTTGCGTTCGTTATATTATGCGCACAGGATGTTAGTCTTTATTTTTATTAAAAGTACTACAGCTAAGTTACCGGCTAAAACTTATTATAACATACCTCAAAAGTTTGTGGAATTTTACGTCATTTGCCGGATTTACACCGGATTCATCCCCTAATTTACCAACCTTCTATTCTATTTCCTTAATGGCGGCCACTAGGCTTGGGCCAGTGTCAGTTTCGATTCAATAACGTCAACGTTTCGGTAGCATCACGGTATTTATTTTTAGATGAATCTCTTCGACGGAATGCTGTTGTGGAGATCTTACCTGGGGTAAAAAACAATCATGGACAAACAACGGACTAAAGCATTGTATTATTAGAGAGTATAGAATTAGAGGTGGGATATTTGAAAAGGTTGTAAACTGCCAATGTGCAGCAATAAAATAGATTACTCGGTCCACATGAATTTATTGTACAGGGTAAAAGGTGAAAGATAGACTGTAATAAAAAAAATTGTAAAAAATATAGATACAATATCAAAAACACTCCCTCATCATCATCAATATCTAAAACACTCTTAAATGCTACAACAGGTGTGAATATTACAAGATTATAATGGCATAAAATAGGCACATGATTTAAAATGGAAATTGGTAAAAACAGATTAAAATTTGTGATGAAGACGAGCAAAGTGCTCGCTTCAAACATTACGTAGAGAGTGACGACGGAACGAAACAAAACGAGAATGACGAGGCAAAGAAATTAAAAAACAACTCAACATTTGAAAATAAGTGGCCAGGAAACAGAGAAAAGGTGATAAAAAGGTGGGATGACAATGGAGGAGGTCGCATCGTCACATATTTTCATCAAATTTGACCACTACTGAGGTACCTTTTTCAACAAAAAACAATCATCGAAATCGGTTTACAAATGTCGGATTGATCGCGTAACATTCAAACAAAAATAATACAGTCGAATTGAGAACTTCCTCCTGTTTTGAAGTCAGTTTAGTTATTTTTTATACAAGTGCGGAAAGTTAGTCATTATTCACGAGTCTCGAGTCTTCTTGACCCGAGCCAGAGGCGAGATGAAACGACGTTTTTTAGTACATTTGCGAAAAAACACTCATTTTATTTCTTTGTCTGATAAAAATTCAGAGTACAATGGCAACTGTTGCCAGTATTCAACCATATTAAAATTACTATTTAGTTGCGGCGCGCAACGGTCTCGCGTAATACTTACCTCCCGTCATTGTTAATACTCAATCAGCCATCTTTATGGAAAAATCCAACTTTCGGCACGATTTGTAGTACGAAAAATGCCACATTTTGAGCAACTGTATTAAAAACTATTTTTTATCTATTTAGATAACATTTACTAGCACGCGACTAAAGTAAAGAAGCTCGTTTTATTCTTTGTCTTTACTAGTGTCTTAGTGCTAAGAAAATTTCTAGGTTAGGTCATAGCGTTCACCCGATATGGGCTTGTACAAGCAATCATGCGACGGCATGAGCCGGAGGGATCAAGCTTTTCCGGTTTCTCACGGTACCGTATAACAGATAAGTCTTTGCCCGCGAATTCGTATGCATAGCTAACGAAAATCGTATTCTGTGTAGAAGCAAATATAAGTAACTGATAAATATAACTCTGGGCTATAAAATTAACGTTGAACTTTTTTGTTGACATCAATATTCGAGTTGTCAATAACAAACATCTTTAAAATTTTGCAACATAGCGTGAAATTTAACAAGTTTTAATAAGTGTGAAATTTACACGCCTGTTTGCCGTTAATATTGGCTACCTACAATTTGTTTAACAGCAATGTTACTCGTTAAAACAAAAACTAACATAAAAATCGTACGAAAAGCATATGTTCTGGGATGTCTGAAAGTCCTATTACACGGGCTTTTATAAACACCATCATTATAGTTTTCCACTTTTATTAGACCCTTCATCACCCGGATTCTCGTACACAGGTTTCCATGGAATTGGGGTCGTACGGAATGCGTGGGTGTGGACGCTGATCGCAACTGGGACTACCACTGGGCGGAAGAGGATGCCTCACGAGATCCTTGTGCTGATAATTACGCAGGACCGCATCCCTTCAGCGAGCCGGAGACTAGAGCTGTTTCCGAGTTTTTGGCCGAACACCGAGGACAGATCAAGGTACGTATATACATGTAAAACGTAAATCTACGTACATACTTTCACATTAATGTTTGACAGTGTAATTATATTTCTTCTTTTGCATTACAATGTTGGCTCGTCTTAGAGAGAGTTGTAGCCAATTATAGTCACTTTTGTGTTATCATAAATAAACGAAACTAGCTAAAATTAGTGAGTACAGTCAATAACACTGACAAATCAAATAGTTCTTTATTAATAATACAACTTATGCGTCAAGTATGGATTTGCGGATGCAGCAACCAGGACATTGTTACAATGGTAACCACTTGTTAGTTCAATGGCTTACCCAGCCCACCTCTACACCTCCAAGAATTATGTTTTGCCATTATCTTGTACACAAAGAAACGCTGCTACAAAGTCCTAGAATTATCTCTCAGAAGCTTTCTATGACACCTATAATTAGTAGTCCTATTTATAAGTGGAAGCCTTCGTGGATCGCAAAATTTGAAATTACTTAATGAAATAGTACAGTCAGAATAATCACAGATTCATCTACCATCTGTATAGATGCGTAAGCGCCGTAACTATACTAGTAGTAAAAAACGAAAGCAATATAGAGTTGTTAGTTTAGCTGCAAACTGCCACTTAGCTTGTAAATTCTAATATAATTAACTTACAGAATATCTTTTTTCTTATCAACTCATCAAGCAATTATGCTTATTCATACATATGTATATCATTAACTGGGATGCGCTTGCTCAAAGAAAGTCGTGGCTGCATTGATATCTTTTGTTGGCACTTACCTGGTTCTTTTTGGTAGCAGTAGAGCTCCTTGTGAAGGTTTTCGTCCAGGAAAGTACTGCCACCTATTTCTACCGCCAAGTAATAACGTGAGCATTACTGCGTTCCGGTTTTGAAGGTTAAGGGTGCTGGTGAAATTACAGGCACATGGGACTTGTCAACTTAATCGTCTCCTTACTTTCTCAAAATTGTATCTTATAAGAGTGATTATTTTATTTTAAATTTCTTATCAAGGGTGTTAATTTGGATGTATTACTTTAAGAATAGGTAAAAGCTAGTGTGTAAATATGATGTGAAATCACCCTGCAACATTTGTACATACATACAATCCATTTTGTGATTTATTCCCATCTGATCATCTCTATACTTTGCAACTCCCAACGGATCCCCTCTTGACTTAAGAGAAGAAGAAGTTTGGAAATCAAATATTAATTTATTGAGGAATTATTATTTTAATGTTATGATTATCACGTATAATGATATACATTTTCTTGTTGACTATACCACAGTACCTACCAAAAATAAACTTGTAAGTACCAGGATATAGGTGGAAATAAAATATTAATATATATTCTTGATCCACTGCATTGGGAATCCGGTGGGAGTAGAAAATAATTTAAAATAAAACGGATCCCCAGGGGATCGGTTTTAGGGAATCAGATGGGAATAAGTCCATTTTGTGCATTTTAGTAACTTTGTGCTTTAAGATCGAGTTTGAGAAAGTAAGGCGACGTTATGTCTCAAGATGACGGGCGCAGTAGCAGTGTCCCTCAGATCTTTGTGAATAAAGATCTGAGTGGCACTGCAACTGCTATGGACAGGCGTGTCACTTACCATCAGGCGCACAACTTGTTCGTCTCTTGACTTGGTTAATAAATACTACTAACTACTAAATACTTACTAACTCCATATAATAATAGGGGTTAAAGTATGAAATTGCCGATTTGTACTGAAAATCTAAATTGTTTATTTTTTAAATTTTTAACAAATTTATTTAATCAAAATAGTTGCCATTATTATCTATACATTGCTGCCATCTAATGGGAAGGTTATTAATGCCTTTGCGATAGAACTCCGACGATCTAGACTGCACAAACTGTGTGAAAGCATTTTGTACTGCCTCCTGGGAAGAAAACTTCTTGTCACGTAGATAATTGTCCAAATCACGAAAAAAATGGTAGTCCGTTGGAGCAAGGTCTGGTGAATACGGAGGATGACGAATGGTTTCTAACTGCAGTTCCTGAAGGGTCAAAATGGTTTCTCGTGCTGTGTGAGGTCTCGCGTTGTCGTGGAGCAATAATGGTGAAGATCGATTCATGAGTCGGGGCTGTTTTACTGCTAGTTTTGTCAACATGGTTCGGAGTTCGGCACAATAGACATCTGCCGTTATTGCTTGACCAGATCGGAGAAAACTATAGTGAATAACACCATGCTGAGACCACCAAACAGTTACCATTACCTTTTTATTGGTAAGTTTTGCTTTAGGACACTGTTGTGGCATTTGACCTGGGGTCAGCCATTGCATTTTTCTTTTCCGGTTATCATAAAGAATCCACTTTTCATCACATGTTACAATTCGATCCAATATTCCTTCATTTCTGTACCGGTTCAACAAGGCAACACAAGTTTCAACACGCGTTTCTTTCTGCAGATCAGTCAAATCATGAGGCACCCATTTTTCGTATTTTTTTATTTTATTGATTTGACGCAAGTGAGTCAATATTGTGGGTAAGGTAACGTTAAACCATGCCGCTAATTCCTGGGTAGTTTGACTAGGATCGGCTTCCACTATCTCTCTTAATTCATCGTTATTCACCTGTGTGGGCGGTCTTCCTCGTGGCTCGTTCTTTAAGTCGAACTTTCCATCACGAAAGCGTTTAAACCAAAATCGCACGGTGCGTTCATTAGTAGACCCCTCTCCAAACGCAGCATTGATATTGCGGGCTGTTTCTGCCGCGTTAGTTCCGCGTCGGAACTCGTATTCAAAAATCACTCGAATTTTCGCAGTATCCATCTTTCTTGTCTAAATTGAATAACAAAAACAATTGAAAGTCGATATTCAAATGTTTCAAATTTAAAAAAAAAATCACAGAAACCATTTGAAAAAAGTTTCATTCGAAAACCTCAAACCATAAAGATTCTATGAAAATTCAAAGAACCTATTGCAATAAAACGGCAATTTCATACTTTAACCCCTAATACTTACGAAAAAGTTTTTATTACTTATTATTTTATATTGTATTGTATTATATTATATTATATTAGAATTAGTATATTATATCCGTGTTCAACAGTAGGATGTACAAAATTTTAAGTTTATTGACACCCTATATTACCGAACTCACGCACACCACGAAATGTCAACACGAAGGAGTACGAACGCGCACACTACACATAGAAATATTTTTGTACGACGAATGAGCGGTATACAGAAAAACTTAGTTAAGTTTATGTTATACTGGAATGTTTTGTTTTTTAATACTTTTAAATGTAATAAATACAATAAAAAAAAATAAAAAAATATCGAACTATTGTGGCACTTTTTAAGGATCTTGAGTAAACTGAGGGTTATTTTTATTCTCATATAGGTATATACATGAACCCATATATATCCCAATGGGTTGAGGACCTGAGATCGTACAGACCTGTGGGTATAGGTCACGTTATTGTTTTAAAAAGTGATTCGTGGTGCGCACTATAAGTTTCCGGAATGAATAAGAAAAAAATACTATAAATGGTCAGAAATGAATTTATTGTTTCTCAAAATATTTTCCGTTAGCGTTAATGTACTTTTTCATACCAATGAACCAATTTGGAAAACATTTATGCCACTCCTCCGTGACAATCTCTGAAACATATTTTTCATACTCTTCGACAGCCCCTTCAGGTGATGAAAATCGTTGACCGCGTAACTGGTTCTTAATTTTTTTAAATAAATGAAAGTCTGCCTAGGAATTGTAATCGGTACCATAATCAGTTTTAGACGATTCAGCAGTCCATAAAGCCTTGTCATCCTTGTGTTACTGCTTAAAACACGCAATTTATTTAGTCGCTTATTATGAAATGCTTGTTGTTAAGTGTTTTATAGCATTATTTGTGTAGGGGCTGTGTTTTCGTAGGAAGAACAATTAACATTTTGTAAGATGATTGTGCATGGGAAGCATCAGTGGCATGCCAACTTAAAAGCTAAGTTCGTGCGGAATCTGCACCTGCCTTACCTCCGTCCTTTTATGACAAAGTGGATTCATTCCTTGACATATAATGCAGAAGACCAATGGCTCGTTTTTGGACGTGTTGTCACGTTTCTTATTAACTTGTTTTAGTAACTGCAGAGCGCCTTGTGTAAAAGTTCGTCCAGAGAAGTACTGCCACCTTACCTATTTCTGTGGGCTTTATTGCGTTCCGGCAATTAACTTAAGTCTCAGGGTAACGGGCGCAGTGGCAGTGCCACTCAGATCTTTGTGATTTAAAGTTCTGAGTGGCACTGCAACTGCTATGAGCAGCCGTGTCGCTTACCACCAGGCTCACAATTTATTCTTCCCCTCTCTTGGTATCATAAAAAAAGGCTGATGTATTTATTTTTGTCCGGGGTGATGTAGATAAATGTTACATACAGATGCTGGTGTGGGTGCACATACTTTGTTCTACATCCCCTAATCTAAAGTTGAATTTTAATCTACATGGGGCCTAAAAGTGTTGATGGCATATGTGCCTAAAATAGACGGACAAATAATATTAATGTCAGCGACTGTACTACTTTTAAATTATATTCTTAAAAATTTACTCCTTTTGTCTTACGGTATAAAATGGAAAAGCGTGTCTTGTAAACACCTCTATATGTGCGCCGGACCATAAAGTCGTTAACTATTATTATTTTTATAGCAAAAGACTGTATAAGACGCGTGCGCATGTACGTGCAACGTCACTAACAGTGGCTCTAATTAGGCATTTACTGTGCTCACCCGCCGGCAACTTGCAAACGAGTTCTTTGGAATTATTTTCTTTCATACTATTTCTTCTTTAGCGACGACAAGGAAAGCCATCAAGAAACTTATTTCTGTGAATGTACATTTATATAGTGAAACTGTAATATATCATGTAAAGTACATTCGATATACAATCCAAGTACATCTCAATTGAGTTCCATTCAAACATCACACTATTACTCATGATTGTATATCGATATCACAAAGTTTATATTTATGCGAGCTCACGTCTCTAAATAAACGTGGAAAGAA